TAAACTGGCAGAAAAACTAAGTCCATTTATAAGTAAAATACGGGAAAACAGGATTTTTTTACAAAATTTACTTTTGGCTACTACATGTATCGTATGATCATAAACAAGCTTCTGTCCAAGTTTGGTACAAATCAAGGACAGTTTGAGAAGTTATTAAATTTTCAAAAACTTTAACCGCAGAGCGAATATTTGTGGACGCCGACGACGGAATGTATGATCGCTGTCTCGCTTTTACGACAAAAGTCGGAGGCTCGACAAAAAAGAAAAAGAGACGGTTGTCCAAAATGAGAAAAATTCACAATAAAGTGATTTTTTTGCCTTTCGGTGATCCTTGGATCAGAGTATGTTCACAAATCAACAATCATAGCATATAACAATCTCTTCATAATGGTCATATACTTTAACACACAAATATATATTTTAATAAGATCATATCGGATACTAAAACTATTGAATATTAAACAGAACTATTTAACTTACCTTTAAAATTTAAAAATGTCTGCTAGGTTTAGAAGAATTTCCACTTTCGTTTCAATTTAATTCACGCTAACTAGGCCGAGTAATAGACAGGTAGAATACAGTGGTGGATCCAGAACTTTTCAAGGGGGAGGGGGTTGGCGCTGACTGACCTATAGGGGGCAGCCGCTCCCGTCATGCTTCAGTGATTCCCTATATAATCAACCAAATCTTCCCCACCAAAGTGTGGGGGGGCCTGGATCCGCCTATGGAATATATATATATATATTAAACTGAACTGAAAACAGATATTTCATTAAAAATGGGGAGAGGGGGAAAACCAGTAATTAATGTGGAGATCTGCGGTATAAATCGGTTCAAATCCATGCATCTTGGCATTCAAGGCATAGTATAAGTTCGAATAAGATGAATATTCAGAAGATACATTTACAGTTCTGCAAGAACACCTTGGGGTAAGCAGTGGCGGATCCAGAAATTTTCATAAGTGGGGACCCACTGACTGCCTTAGTGGGGGCCCACTCCAGTCATGCCTCAGTGATTCTCTATATAATCAACATGTTTTTCCCACAAAAGGGCGGACCGGGCCCCCTGGGCCTCCCCCTTATCCGCCTTTGGTAAGATGATCGACCACAAATGTCTATGGTGTACTTGGCAGATATCCTATCGAAATTAGAAGCAAAATGAAATGATTTGTTTCTTGTAACAAATGTTGATAAACTCTCTGGAAAACGCTACAAGTTTATGTTTAATTTATTTGTAAATGGAAACAATTCTTTAAAATGAATCAATTGGGTATAATATATTTTTGATGAAATTTGTAACAGTGAAATATGCGGTGTGGGTTTAAGTAATTGTTGAAGGCTTTACGGTGTCCTATAGTTGTTATTACTCCAATATATACATGTCATTTGGTCTTTGACGTATAGTTGTCTCATTGGCAATCATACCACATCTTCTTATTTATATAATAGGATGCGAGTATTTGAAATTAATCAGAATAATGTCGAAATTATTCAATGATGCAATTAAAATCCATTTATAAATTAATGCATCCTATAGTTGTCGATGATCTATACATATTTTTATGAAATAGCGATGTAAATAATGCTAACTCTAGGTGATTTTTTTGTATAAAACATGAATGATAGGGTCAGGAACATTTATATTATTATACTGTTCCCAGGGTAGGGATCAAGTTTTTTTTTTTTTTTAATATTTAAAAAAAATATGAAAAGGGTAGGATACTGGGTTTCAACTGCTTATTAACCTTCCACAAAGGGATTTAAAAATGCCCCCTGGCAACTTTATGTCTTCGTGTGTTATCAACACTTTCTTCAATAAAATATCTTTGTTTACCATCACCAGGTGCCATTACATATGCATACGTTGGGCTAACTAAATATTAGTGCACACATTAAATGCATAATATTCTGCAATGTCCTTTTTTCGCAGATTTTGCGTTTTCATTTTACTGTCTTTCGATCGTAAAAATGCAATTTTCGTAAAAGCTTCATAAAGGTTTGACATAGTTATTTAATGTCTGAAAATTCTATCCTTGGACTATACAAAACAAAATAATATATGGCTATGTTAACTATGAAAAATTAAGTCCATTAATCAGCAAAGTACGGAAAACAATTAAAAATATTTGTTTTAAATTTCATTGATACTTTTGATGATAAATAAACTTCTGTCCAAGTTTCATAAAATTCCAAGGTTTGACAAAGTACTTGATGTCTCAAATAAACTTAACTACAAAGTAAAACCAAAATGGTGACCCCGTTGCCACGAAATGTAGGATAGCAATTTCTCTCAGGCTTGACAAAAACTAATGTTCTCCCTCCCAATAAAAGTTGATACAAAAGAAGGAAAACATATATGAATTTGTGCTGGTTTGTTGGTTCGGTAATAATAATAATAATAATGGTTACTCATAAAATATTCATGTTTTTATTACCTAAACACCATGTACTTGTAGTTTACTTTATGATATTTGAATTGAAAAATAAAAAATGTTAAGACTAAGAAAGAACAGTTATATCATTATTAATGAGACGATAGGCTTACCATACAGTTTGCTAAATTGAACTTGACTTACATGATGTAAGGTTTAGAGACGATAGGCTTACCATATATTGTGTAAACTTGAACTTGACTTACATGATGTAAGATTGAGAGACGATAGGCTAACCATACATTGTGTTAACTTGAACTTGACTTACATGATGTAAGATTGAGAGACGATAGGCTAACCATACATTGTGTTAACTTGAACTTGACTTACATGATGTAAGATTGAGTGACGATAGGCTTACCATACATTGTGTTAACTTGAACTTAACTTACATGATGTAAGGTTGAGAGACGATAGGCGTACCATACATTGTGTTAACTTGAACTTGACTTACATGATGTAAGTTGAGAGACGATAGACTTACCATACATTGTGTTAACTTGAACTTGACTTACATGATGTAAGATTGAGAGACGATAGACTTACCATACATTGTGTTAATTTGAACTTGACTTACATGATGTAAGATTGAGAGACGATAGGCTTACCATACATTGTGTTAACTTGAACTTCACTTACATGATGTAAGGTTGAGAGACGATAGGCTTACCATACATTGTGTTAACTTGAACTTGACTTACATGATGTAAGATTGAGAGACGATAGACTTACCATACATTGTGTTAATTTGAACTTGACTTACATGATGTAAGATTGAGAGACGATAGGCTTACCATACATTGTGTTAACTTGAACTTCACTTACATGATGTAAGGTTGAGAGACGATAGGCTTACCATACATTGTGTTAACTTGAACTTCACTTACATGATGTAAGGTTGAGAGACGATAGGCTTACCATACATTGTGTTAACTTGAACTTCACTTACATGATGTAAGGTTGAGACTATAATGTTAAATTATGGTGACAGTAGTTGATTCTGGGTCCATTTGCCCCAAATTACATTCACTCCCAACCATGTTAGTCCCCTTTCCAATGGCCGATCCAGAAATTTTCATAGGAGGGGTGCCACTGACTGCCTAAGAGGGGGCCCGCTTCAATCATGCTTCAGTGATTCCCTATATAAATCAACCAATTTTTTTTTCTACAAAAGGGGAGGCGGCCCCCTAGACCTCCCTAAATCTGCCTCTGTTTTAACATTTGCACCCCACACATTCACACCCTTTTAAAAGGTTTTGTATTGAATAATGTTTTAATTGTGTTTTAGTTCGTGTATTGCTATAAATTCATAAAATAAAGATAAGTTTTCTTTATTGTTTTAAACTAGGACATTCATATTATTTGTAATAGTCCCACTTTAGCTATATATAGTGTTTGGGAATATTTTTTTAATGAAATGAGTAATCAATATTTTCATGATGGCACACTCATTATAAACATGCTCTATTCAAAATCAAAAAGAGCTCTAGAATATTAAGAGGTCCAACCGGGAACAGTTGGGGCAAAAATGGACACAGTATTCAAGCCTGATACAGGTCTAAATTTAGATTGTAATTAAATACTTTACCCATTATAGATTTCTGACACAAAATAAATGTAGTCAAAGAACTTGAAATTGGTTATATGATTTGAATTTATATTCAATTGAAGATTTTTTTGCTGTTGTGCATTACACTCATCAATATGCTGTTGTGCAATACTTAGTAAATCTGTTTTCCTACTGTGTACAAAGAATTAGCAAAATTAATTGTGACCACCAATTTTTTTTTATGAGAAAATTGATAATTTCTTAAATCTTGAGAAAAAAAAAGAGATCCATACACTTAAAACTAAAGTTATTGTCACCAAAACTAAATGTTTTCAGATGACGCTGCTGACAACGACGCCCACAACAACGACATCAAAGCAATATACCACCGCAATTTTTTTGCGGTTGTATAAAAAAATCATGATTTTTTTATTCATGCAAATAGAATTATTTTGATATACACATCTTAAAAGCAGCTAATAATGTAACCAGTATTTGAAAAAAATTGGACGCGAATGAATCCAGGGGGGTGAATATGTTGGGTGGAAACATGTAGTGTGCAAACAGACCAATTACCACAGTTGTTAACAGATGTTAAAAATCTCATAAATCGAAAAGGAAGACACAAATCAAGGTAACAAACAAAAGCTGAGAGATCCATGAACTCCAAAATCAGCATGCTTATCAGTTATAACCTCAAATCAGGCCTTGAAGTCATAAAAATTTGCTCAGGGCTTGGAGCACAAAAATCATGCTTGAAAACATGAAATCCAGCAATTTGATTGGTTGATTTTGGAGTATGAGTACAAAAAACTGACTCAATGTTTTATGACTTCAAGGTCAGATCATTATAATTTTAACTAAATAATGTCTGTATTTTCTTGCTAGTTTAGACGTTCTGGGCTGATGATTCATTGTTGATTTTTTGGTTTAAAGTAAATTATGAAATGAAACAGGCTAAGCAATATCTGTGGTTTAATTTTTTTCTAGATCAATAAGTAATACCATCAACAAAGTCTCTCTTTTTAATACATGCAAAACATTATATATACAATTTTAATGCAAACAATCATTATACAAATTTAGAAATAAACATTTATGACAACTATGCATTTTGTTGTGTTATCTGATGTGATTGTAGTCTGTCTTCATATGTCTGTATAGAAAGTTCTAATTCTGCTGCATGTTCTTTACTGGCATGGTACTTACAAAAATCCTGAAAATTTAAATTTAAATAATTGTCTTATTAGCAATCATACCACACCTCCTTATTTTTATGCTGAAACATAACTAATCATTCCCTAAAATCAAAGTAGCAAAGAAAACTTTTAGGATGAAACTTGTCCTTGTACAATGAATGCTGTAAAATTTCAAACTATTGGCAAACAGGAGATGTAAAAATTATTAACATGCTACAATTCAACATTATCAAGCTCCAGAACAATATAAAACTACTTTCTTCAATAGAGGTGAAGAATAGTTTGAACTCAAAGTTATAATAAATAATTATTCACTTGCTAAGAAGTTACGAAAAGGTTGATGAAAATTTTCAATTGTACAATGAGCATTGTAAAATTTTGAACTATCAGCAAACGTTAAATTTAAATTTACTTGCACACTACAACTCCAAATAATCAAGCTGCTGACCAAATATATCATTAATCCCTTTCATAAAAGCCAAGAAAACTTTAATAACATTGGACAACAGACTGTAGATCATTATTTAGTAATGCTTTTGCTCAAGGTGACCTGGTAAAAATATCTTGCAAATGAAATCAATTGCAAAGATAATCAATTGCTTGTTATACTGAATAGTTTCTGACTGAAAAATTTATTTTCATAAGCAATTATAAATGTTAACTCAATACTGCTACAAATAAAACTTTACCATTAAAATCTTCAGTTTTTCACTAATAGTATTTTCATCTGTTTCCCTTTTAATGCAATATCCATTCATTAGCTTATTTTTCTTTAATTGTTTCATAGCCTCTTCAGACTGTTCAACATTATCAATTTCCATGGTAACCATATTTATACTTTCCAACATTTTCACTTCTGGATGAATAATCTGATATAACTCTATCAAATCTATAGCATCTTCTAACCTGAAAAATTTGAATTCTGTTTAACTGACAATTCACTTTACATATTCGAATTTAAATGACAAAAAAAAGGATATTTGCATTGGTATTATTTGAATCTCAAATCGAAAGAAAAGAAATCAAGAACCTGTTTAAATTTTGGTAAATTACCTTTCACAAGTTATTGAAGTCTTATATGAAAAGAAAAATGGGTATTATGGGGCAAAGTATTTTACCCTGTATTGAAGGAAAAAAACCAAGGAGTCCGAACATCTGACACATATTCCTAAACCTCACCTAAGTACATCCTTAAGATTAATTTACAACAACTTACAAATCATTCTGTATCATATCTGTAAGTAAGGGTTCTGTTCTATTATTCCAGGCGAAATAAAATGTCATTGGTCCAAAAAATCTGGTCGATCTCAAAGCATCGAAAGTCTGTGTTTCTGCTACATGGTTGTATACTCTGTTACAAACCTAAAATGAGATAAAAAAAAATCGGATGAACTTTGCATGTATAATTTTAAAGTTTCAAAAAAAAAAAAAAATGAAAACATCACATTTTAAATTCCATGTGTCTGTAGCACTTCTCTTGATTTATCTTCATAAGGAATGCTCAAAGCCAATATTTGACAGCCAAAGATGTATAAGAATGGAAATAGTTACAGAGCTATATAACCAAAGAGGACCTAAACAAGAATGTGTCCATAGTACAAGGATGCCTCACTCGCACTATTTTCTATGTTCAGTGGACTGTGAAATTGGGGTCAAAACTCTAATTTGGCATTAAAATTAGAAAGATCATATCATAGTGAACATGTGTAATAAGTTTCAAGTTGATTGGACTTCAACTTCATCAAAAACTACCTTGTCCAAAAACTTTAACCAGAAAAACTTTAACCTGAAGTGAGACAGACGGACGAACAAACGGACGGACAGACCAACAAACGGACGAAAGTACCAAAGGACACACACATCAAAAAACATAATGCCCATAAACGGGGCATAAAAATAGCCAAATCCATCCATATCTAAGATCAACCTTGCCTGAGGGAGTTGAAACTTTATAAGTTATTATTTCAAAATTTATAAACAGACAATTTTAGAAAGGTTTGTGAGCTGATGATACCCTCTGATATCAAATGTTCAAACTAATTAAAAATTAAACACATACAATATAACAATATTCTTTACTATGTAACACTTTTTTCTGAAAAGTCACCTAATCTGAACTTTCTATATTCTTACTCACTTAATCTTATATAACAGGAAAAGGTATTGTAGTACATATATCAACAATTTCACCTCATGAATCATACTGCTAAGAGAGAGTGCTGCACAGTATACCACAAAAGAACAAGAGCCTGAATCGCTCACCTGTATTTCAGAGGAGAAGATTTTTAAATGTGAGCAAACTTGATGAACAAATTGTGTAAAATTGTCTTTAAAGGGCAATAACTCCTTAAGGGGTCAATTGACAATTTTGGTCATATTAACTTTTTTGTACAGTTTACATATATCTATAGTAATATTCAAAATAATAACAAAAAACTGCAAAATTTTGTTAAAACTACCAATTCGGTGGCAGCAACCCAACAATGGGTTGTTCGATTCGTCTGAAAATTTCAGGGCCGATTGATCTTAACCAATTAAACAATTTTACCCCATGTCACATTTCCTCTAAAAGGTTTAGTTTTTGAGATACCGTAAAGCGGGTTATTTTTCGCAGGGTGTAAATTTTCGCTTATTTTCGCGGATAGAACAAATTCGCCAAAATAAATTCCGCCAAATTAAAGGTGTACATGCAAAGGTATTGATAAAGTTTTAAATCCGCCAAAATAATAACCGCCAAAATATTTCGTATACCTAATTCAATGAAAATCGCGAAATTTTTCACCCGCGAAAATAACCCGCTATACGGTATAAGCCAAAAACTGCATTTGACCCTTATGTTCTATTTTTAGCCATGGCGGCCATGTTTGTTGATGGATACAAATTTCGGAGACAATTTATAAACAAGATACCCTAAGGAACATTTAGTCTAAGTTTGAAGTAATTGGCCCAGTAGTTTCAGAGGAGAAGATTTTTAAATGTTAGCAAACTTGATGAACAAATTGTGTAAAATTGTCTTTACTTTAAAGAGCAATAACTCCTTAAGGGGTATATTGACAATTATGGTCATATTAACTTTTTTGTAGATCTTACTTTGCTGAACATTATTGCTGCTTACAGTTTACATAAATCTATAATAATATTCAAAATAATAACAAAAAACTGCAAAAGTTTGTTAAAACTACCAATTCGGTGGCAGCAACACAACAATGGGTTGTTCGATTCGTCTGAAAATTACAGGGCCGATAGATCTTGACCAATTGAACTATTTTACCCCATGTCAGATTTGCTCTAAAAGCTTTAGTTTTTGAGATATAAGCCAAAAACTGAATTTGACCCCTATGTTCTATTTTTAGCCATGGTGGCCATGTTTGTCGATGGATCAAATTTATAAACTAGATACCCTAAAGAACATTTAGTTAAAGTTTGAAGGTATTTGGCCCAGTAGTTTCAGAGGAGAAGATTTTTGAAATAGTTTACGACGACAGACGACGACGACAGACGACAGACGACGGACAACTACGGATGCCAAGTGATGGCATAAGCTCACATGGGGCCCTTCGGGCCCCGGTGAGCTATAAAAGGTCAATTCCACAATGTTTGTTTATTTTTTGCCACCATTTTTTATTTCTCCTTGGCAATCATACCACATTTCCTTTTGTTATGTACAACTTCTTACTAACCAGAGTCTGGTGATAAAAAAGATTTTTTCCTACAAACCCATGGTAACAATGTGTGTGAATTAAAGAGGACTCTTTATGGTAACATTTTAAGATCAACTCAAGCGCATTGTTCTCTTTCTATACAACAAAATTTGTTGACCTTTTTTTATATAATATCCTGAGACAGAACCTGACAATCATAAAAGTTTATGTTGATCAATCAATCACATCTCTGTCAGACAAATTGCTTGTTGGTGTTTAATGCCACTTACAGCACTATTGGCCATACAGAGGCAGTTAATTTTTTATCGTGGAGGAAGTTAGAATACAAGGAGAGAACCTTAACCTCAAGCAGTATATCATTGTGTCACAATAAAATATAAACAGCTGCACAAAGATCGCATGTTAAACTATTTTAGTGCTTATTGAAATTGTTCCATCAATAAAATGAGATATTTAGAAGGCATTTAATCAGAGGCAAATGAAATGGCTTTATAGAAAAGCATGCACGACGATACCCTCAGGCATATAAGCACTGTGTCAATTATGACTGTTTAAAGTCCTAAAACTATGGAATGACAAACCAGAAAAATTTCAAAATCAAGAGTACATTCACCAATCTAACAACAGTATTAAATGTGTAGCTATTTGATCCAAGCACACTATAGCTTAACTGCATGACATTAAAAAATGTCTTTTATTTATCTGACAATCAAAGTCCCATAACTCTAGAATGACACATCAGAAACATTTTTTAAATCAAACAGTGTTATGTTCGACTATTCCAGTTATTATGCAAATCAATCCAAGCAAACTCATTTGTTTTTGTTAGATGTATTTCTACTTGTATCCATCTGATGAGTTAATCTTTTTTCACCTTATTTTTATAGTTCGTTCTTATGTTGTACTGTCCCAAGTCAGGAGACTGTTGTTCAGTGGTTGTTGTTTGTTGCTTTTTAAATATTTGTATTTCGTTCATTTTTTTTTACATATATTAGGCCACTAGTTTTCTGGTTTGGATTGTTTTACATTTGTCATTTCAAGGCCTTTTATAGGTGACTATGCAATATGGACTTTGCTCATTGTTGAAGACGGCACGGTGAACTATTGTTGTTAATTTCTGTGTCATTTGGTCTCTTGTGAAGAGTTTTCTCATTGGCAATCATACCACATCTCCTTTTTTATATCATATTATGGAACAAAACATAAAATTTTTACTTAAATCTGACAATTGAAGTCCAGTAACTCATGAATGAAAAAGACAGAAAATTAAAAAAATCTAAAGGGAGCTTCCTTTATCAGCCCCAACAATAATGTCAAGATTTAAGGAAATCAATTCAGGCATATTGGAGAAAGTGAGGGCTATGTGAAAATAAGCTGCAAAAGTTAAATTAGAGAAGGAGCTATCTTCTGTCAATCCTAATGTGTTAAAATTACATGATAAATTTTGAGTTATAGTACCAAGTGTTGATGGATGAATGGATGTACATTGGTACATCATAATACAGTCTTTGACGGGGCGTAAACAAATTGCCATAGTCTCATAATCCTCCACATGAACAGTCAAAATCAAAATGACCGTATTATATATGTGGATAATGAGTTTCTCACAACATAGAAGCATACAAACCAATATGAAATCTTATGACATTTCTTACCCTAATAAAATCTGGACTGTCTGGTTCAAACTGTATGCATGCTCGCTCTAATATATATATGTAGTTCTTTTCATGCAATATATTCTAAAACGATAATAGATATTTTAATTTTTATTATCCAGGAACAACATTCAACATAACTATTTCCCTGAAATCACAATACATTACACGATGATTCATTTAACAGGTGAAAACAGTTAAGGGCATACGATACAGTTTTGATCCCGTAATGAAATTTTGATGAAAATTTGCATGTAGGCTATTTTTTACCTGATTAAATCAAATATGCAATAAAAAATATACCATCATGTGCTACTTTTTGAGTAAATTGAGGTTGAAATTTCAGATATTTCCTCAAAATTCGGATTTGTGGACGTATTTTTCCTTTTGACAGAAATACATAACTTTTTTGTTTTAAAAGATAAACACAAGCTGTTTTTTGTTAAATTATTTGTAATTTCTGTTTTATATAAATGTTCTATAAATTTGTACATTTTATTTTTACAAATAATGGACCATCATCCAAACATCTGTGATGTGATGGATGAAGGTCATTATACGAGGAAGCCAAGGGCTTCCGAGGGTTAATAGTGAACCTTTTATTATGTGCCAGCCACACGCCTATTTTACAGTTGAGTGATTTTTTGTATGTCCAGGTAGTATATAAGGCCAGGTGACCTGAGTAGTATCCTCTTTTATTTTGAGGCAAACAGTAAAATCTCCAGTGTAAATGGGTAGTAACACGACCAGTATTTGCATTTATATCAAACCTCATCGGGAATGGGTTTTCACTAGGGAGGGTACTATTAACCCTCGGAAGCCCTTGGCTTCCTCATATAATGACCTTCATCCATCACATCACAGATGTTTGGATGATGGTCCATTATATATCATAACCCGGGCTTGACTCGTGTTAATAGTGAACTCTTTACAGCCAAAAATGCAAATACCAACAAGAACAACAAGAACATCAATCACCATAACCAAACAATTGGTCTCTCATACTTTAACAAGTATCTATGTATGAGCCTAAATCATATCAAAGTATTTAACTGCAGATAAAAAGAAAATTCATCTGTCTCCATACATGTATATCACTTGTACGAAAGAGAATACACAATCACCAATATGTCTATCTACTATCTTTTTATTCCATGTGTTAGATGTTTCTGTTTTCATACCAAAATCATAAACAGTCTCTATTATCTATTAATACCAAATATAAAACATCCTCTAGTAGAAAACCTAACTACCACTCTACATAATATGTACATGTAGTAGATCATAAATTATCACATTTTGTCTCAATAACATTACTCCAAAACTACCCAGAATTGCAATGACTATCATGAAATAATAGAATATTTCTTTGTTTTGTGGAATAAAGACATAAGCTTCATAATAACTTTTATTATGTTCAAAAACAAAAATCTGTTACAATCTTCAGAAAACAATTAATACTCTATAAAGTTCACTTTAAAATGCCTCTCACATGTAACAAATTAACACTGTTGTTTTCTCATTATTCTTAAATTATCACATTTTCTCTATGCTTCTTCTCAAACGTTCTCGAAATTTAATGCTATTGACTAAAACTGTTCGATTCAACTCCAAATGTCAGCAAACTCCTGTTGCAAAAAACCAAATGGAATGTCCAAAAACCATTCATCTCGCAGAAATGCTAGATACATCATAACATGTACGTAGAAAAACCATAGCTGATCCTCCTGGTCCACCATACAGTTCCTGTAAACCACTAGCTATAAATAAGAATTAAATACTGTTTCAGTATATGATGGCAATGGAGTTTCAATATCTTTAAAATAAAACTTTTGAAAAGTGTAAGCTGACCTCCAGTTAGCAGTTTTTAATATATCATTCAGTGAAATTCCAGCTTGTTTAGCAGCTGAAGTTGAAGCACTACGATATGAGTGTGCCTTAAATTTGTTTATATCAATTCCTGCATTACCTAACACTATTTTCAACCAACGAGCAATAGTTGAAGTTGTAACACGTTTGAATGTTCTAAAAGAAATGAATAAATTTTCACTTTTTTGAACATCCTTTGTCCGTAAAATATAATGTTTAATACATCTAACAGGACAAATATCCTGTTTTTGATATTTATGTATGATAACATCCAAATTAGATTTGTTTGGTTTAGTTGTTTTTAGTAAAACTGGTATCTTAAAAATCAAAGAATTGTCTGTTACAATACAAATCTCAGATCTAAATTAACAAGTGTTTGTGATCTTTGAGCTGATGACAATGCAAATAAAGCAATGCATTTCAGAGTTAACATTTTTAGAGATAAATTCTCATTTGGATATAATTGTGATAAGTACTTCAAAACTGTACCAACATTCCATGTAAATGTATATCTAGGTAAAGACGGCCTTAAATTAAAAATGCCTTTCATAAATCTAGTTATGTGTTTATCTTTTGCTAATTCAGCCATACCCATTAATGTCAGAGTCTGACAAATAGCTGATTTATGAGAATTAATACAGCTGTAAGATTTTTTGTTTTCATACAAAAAAGATAGATAATTCAAAATTTGTATCACAGATGGAGAAGTGGAATTAATTTGTTCTTTACTACACCACAAAATCCACTTCCTCCAAGCATATTCATACTGTTTATTGGTTGAATCTCTCCATGATTCGGAGAGAATTCTAACAGCTCTTTTTGAAAAGCCTTTATCAATGAGATATCGCCGGATACAATACAAGCGATAAGGAATAATCTTCGTTTGTTCATTGAATGTCTTTGACCATTGTGAGCCAAAGTTAATAGATCTGACCAATTTGGTAATTTTAGTGGAGTAGAAATTAATAATTCTAATAATTTTGGAAACCATGTTTGTGTGGTCCAAACAGGAGCTATAATTAATGCCTTCCTTACCTTGTCCTCTTCTATTTTCTGTAGGACTCTTGGCAACTGACTGAAAGGAGCAAAAATATATGGTAATAAATTACTCCAAGAGAGAGAAAATGCATCTGAAGCATAAGCTTCTGGATCAGGAAACCAACTAACATACTTTGGCAGTTGTTTGTTTAAACGAGACGCAAACAAATCAATCTCTGGGTTAAATAAACTTAAAGTCACTTTTTCAAAAACTGAACTATTTAGTTTCCACTCTGAAGAATCATTAAATTGTCTAGATAAATTATCTGGTTGTATATTTTGTTTTCCTGGGATATGTACCGCAGATATAAATACTTTTCTTTCAGTACTCCAAAACCAAATTTCTTTTGCAAGTTTTAAAAGCGATAATATTGATCCCCCTTGATTATTGATGTATGCAACCGCTACTGCGCTGTCTGTTCTAACACAAATATGACAATCTTTAACAGATCTACAAAGAGCCTGCAATGCCAAAATTATTGCTTTTAATTCTAACACATTAATATGATTCTGACATTCATCTATATTCCATCTACCTTGGGTACAATCTTTCTCAAATACTGCACCCCAACCTATCAACGACGCATCAGTTTGTAAATAAACTTTTGGAGGCTCTTGTCGAATTGGACAACCATTTTCTTTTTTAATATTTTGAATCCACCATAAAATCTCATTTTTACTCTCCACCGACAAAGACATATGAGCATTAAAATTTTTAAAAGATTTTTGTAAAGCTTTTGTTTTGTCAATGTCCAAATATCTATGCTGTAAATGTGCAAGTGTAATTGCATGATAAGATGAAGAATATAACCCAATTAATTGGGCAACCGTACGAATTTGTGTAATCTTCCTTTCAAACACTTTGTATGAAATTTCTATAATTTTTTGTATTTTATCTTCTGGTAAAAATACCTTGAACAAAACTGAATCAATAATGAATCCCAGAAACATTGTTCTTTGTGAAGGTATAAAATTTGATTTCTCTATATTTATTGAAAAACCTAGTGAATCTATTAAATCATTTACAAAATGTGTGTTTCTTTTTGCTTGTTCGAAACAAAGTGCTTGTAATAGGGAATCATCAATATAAAAGAAAGAACTAATGCCTATCTGTCTCACATGTGAAAATACCACTTTCATGATTTTTGTAAATATTCTTGGAGCTGAAGCTATTCCGAATGGGAGACATTCAAAATTATATAATTTGTTATTCCACATAAATTTCAAATACTTTTTACTGTCTTCGTGTATCGCTACAGACCAATATGCCTCGGACAAATCCAGGCTTGTAAAAAATGCATTTCTAGAGATGCTTTTCAAAATAACTTCAAGAGTTTCTTGTTTAAAATGATAATACTGAATATAACTGTTTAATTTTTTCAGGTTAATAACTGGTCTAAATGTTCCATTTTTCTTTTTTACAAGAAAGAGATTTGAAATAAATTCACCTTTCTCATGGTGTGAAATTTTAATTGCTCCCTTTTTTAACATATCAGATACCTCTGTATCAACTAATCTTTCCTCATTTTTATTAAATTTTATAGGTCTTGGAATTATTTTCTGAACTGGTATCTCATCAAATTCTATTTTGTAACCAGTAATTGTTTCTAATACCCAACTATCTGATGTTAATTTTTTCCAATTTCTAATATGATATTTTAATTTACCAATGTTTAAGCCAACTTTTTCAACATGTTTACATGTAATACCAACCTTCAATTTTTTCTTCTGTATTGAGAATTCATCATGGGTTGCCTGTATGACCCTCTTGGGTAGCGGCTCTGCCCTCTGAAATTGCCTCTTGGGTTTGACATACCAAACCGGTACCCTCGCCGATAGGATCGGCCTCTGTAGTTTTTTGAACTGAAAGTTTTGTTTATCTTTTGTACATCATTAATCTCCCGAAGTCTTTTACTAATATCATCTCCAAAGAGTTTTTCACCCACGACCTCATTTCTGTTACACAATTGATGGAATTTACGTTCAATATGAGGCTTCAAATTCATTCTCCTTTTAATAGATAGCTCAAAATGCAAATTACACTGTATAGAAATAGCTCTTGAAATTAACTCTCTCATTGTCTTAATACAAGGATTTTTCCCTCGTAATAATTCCGCCACCTTAATCAAAGGGACCATGCCTGCCCCTGTTAGCTTTTGAATATTCTGAGAAATCAA